CAGATAAGCTTTGTTTAGCATGAGTTACAGCGTTGCTGCCATGAGTTCATTGTTAATAAATCAACAATATGTATTCACATAAGATGCCTTTAAATAGAAACACATAAAACAAGCTCATGTATTCATCACTTGATGAAAACACCGTTGACCAGAGGCTCACAGGAACCCTGGGAGCAACTCTTCAGTATTCACTAGTTGAGAGTTCACGGCGACTTGACAGAACGGGACTGCCAGGAACAATGAGGACTGTCTTTTTCTTCAAAGAATGGATTCGCACTCCTCTGTCGGACACAACCTCACTTACTTCCTTCAGCCACCGAACACAGACAATTAGGCGCTGCCCACGAGCTCCAGACACAAGGAGGGAGCGGTGAATAAGAGCATGGCGCTGAGGCCAGGGACAGAACAGAACCAGGCCCAGGGCCCTGGGCGGCACCGAAACAACTCAAGGTCCGGCAGAGGAGGAGGAAAGCCAGCAACGGAGACTGAGCGAGAGAGGACAGCCAGGCCCCTGTGACCCCGAAGCCGACGGAAGACGGTATGGTAAAGAACAGCAACTTGTGCCCAGAGCGGCCGCGTCGTGGCGCGGGCACCGAAGCTACAGACGCGGATGTTAGCGGGTGACCCTGACAAATCTTGATGGAGAGGTGGAGGCAGAAGGAACTGTGAAAGACGGGGAGAAAGTGGAGAACAACCCTGGCAGCCGGCAGAAGCCGCGTTACGAAGAAGAGGTGAAGAAGCGTGGGGAGGGCCGGCAGCCCTTGCGCTGCTCACACGTACCATGTGTCCGGTTAAGGCGGGTGTCTGTTTTCACACACACGAGCTAGCACACGCTAATGGAGTGACTGAAGACAGGTCAGGTTATGAAAGAATGAACTACGCAGAAACTGGAAGGTGGACCGCAACTTAATACAGGTCACATACGACAACCCCACAGCTAACATCACACTCGATGGTCAACAACTGAAAGCTTTCTCCTCTAAGATCAGGAACAAGACACTTTTATCCACCACAGCGTTGGAAGTGCTGGTCACAGCCACGGGAAAGAAAAAGAAGCAAAAGGAGGCAAGAATATCCAATGGGGAAAAGAATCTCTTCAACAAATGGTGCTGGGAGACCTGGACAGCCACATGCAGAAGAATGAGACCGGGCCACTTTCTCACACCACACACAAAATAGATCCCAAATGGATCGAAAGCTGAAACCATAAAACTGCTCAGAGAAAACCTCTTTGACCTCAACCTTGGCAACATTTTTCTACATGTGTCTCCTCAGGGAAGGGACAGCAACGAGATAAAAAGCTGCTGAACAGTGAGGGACACCAACAAAACAGAAAGACAACCTACGGAACAGGAGAAGGTGTGTGCAAATGCTGTATCTGATAATGGGTCAGTATCCAAAATATATAAAAAAACTTACTTGGCTCAACCAAATAATCTGATTTAAAGCTGGGTAAAGGACCTGAATAAACATATTCTCAAAGAAGACATGCAGATGGCCAACAGACAAATAAGATGCTCAACGTCACGAATCATTAGTGAAATGCAAATTAAAACCACAGTGAGATACCGCCTCACACGAGTCAGAATGGCTATCCTCAAAAAGAAATAACAAATGTTGGCGAGGATGTGGGGAAAAGGGAGCCCTGGTGCACTGCTGGTGGGAATGTAAATTGGTGCAGCCACTGTAGAAAATAGCATGGAAGCTCCTCGAAAAATTAAAAATGGAAACACCATACGATCCAGGAATTCTACCACTGGGTATTTACCCAAAGAAAATGAAACACTACTTCGAAAAGATGTATGCATCCCTACATTTACTGCAGCATTATTTACAACAGCCAAGATCTGGAAGCAACCCAAGTGTTCACCGATGAGTGAATGGATAAAGAAGACGTGGTACACACATACACGGGAATAGTATTCAGCCATGGAAGAAGAGTGAGCTCTTGCCATCTGCAACAACAGGGATGCACCTAGAGGGTATTCTACCAGAGACGAATACCACGTGGTTTTCCTTACATGTGGAACCTAAAACCAAAAAAAAAAACCACCCCAGAAACAGACTCATAAATACAGAGAACAAAGTGGTGGCTGACAGAGGGAAGGGAGCTGGAAGGACGGGCAAGAATGGGTGGCGGGGAGTAGGAGAAGCTCTCGTCATGGAGTAAGTCACAGCGCAGGGAATAGTGGATGGTGGCGCAGTCGCGCTGGACGGCGACAAATGGTGGCTGCACTTGGGGTGAGCACAGCATGCCATGAGAGTTGTGGAATCACTACGTTGTACACCTGAAACTAATGGAACGTTGTGTGTCAACCATCGTTCAGTTAAAAAAAAAAAGGTACATAGGTAGGTAGATAAAAAGATAGATGCAAACCACTGTCCATCCTGCCACACGAGTGGCAGTTTTTTCCCTAGTGCGGAGAGAAAAATCTGTCCCGGTTTTCCAGTAGACTGCCTGATGTAATCTCCCTGGGATCTGAAAAGAGCTCAATCAACCTCATGCAGAGCCATGCCAGTCATGGGATTCTAACAAAAATGGTCCTCATGCCTCTCCATGTGACCAAGTGTTTTCTAGAAGGCCTTAAAACAGGGGGAGGGAGCACATCCACACTGGAAAGGAAGAAGTAAAACTATCACTCTTTACTGATCACATGATACTACAATACATAAAACCCTAAAGACTCCACCAAAAACCTATCAGAACTTATAAATGAATTCAGTAATCACAAATGACAAAATTAACATATAGAAATCAGTCGTGTTTCTACACACTAATAATGAGCTATCAGAAAAAGAAATTAAGAAAATAATCCCGTTTACAATTGCATTAAGAGAATATCAAAATACCTAGGAATAAATTTAACCAAGGTGGTGAAAGACATGTACTCTGAAAATTATAAGACACAATGACAGAAACTGGAAACGACACAAATAAATGGAAAGATATTCCAGGTTCACAGATTGGAAGAATTAATATTGTTAAAATGCTCATACTACCCAACGCAATCTAGAGATTCAACACAATCCCTATCAAAATACCAAAGGCATTTTCACAGAATTAGAAAAAAGAATCCTAAAATTTGTATGGAACCACAAAAGATTCCAAACAGCCAAAGCAATCTTCAGAAAGAACAACTAGGCTGGAATTACGCTCTCTGATTTCAAACTACACTATGAAACTACAGGAACCAAAACAGTATGGTCCTGGCGCAAAACAGACACAGAGACCAACAGAACAGAGAGCCCAGAAAAAACCTCACACACACACGGTCAACCGATCTACGTCAAAGGAGGCAAGAATATACAATGGGGAAAAGACGGTCTCTTCAAAACATGGTGCTGGGAAAACTGGACCACTTTCTCACACCATACACAAAAAAATTAAAAATGGACTAAAGACCTAAATGTGAGACCTGAAGCCATGAAACTCCCAGAAGACACCACAGGCAGTAGCTCTTTGACACTGGTTTTAGCAACATTTTTCTGGACCAGTCTCCTCAGGCAAGGGAAACAAAAGTCAAAATAAACAAATGGGATTATATGAAACTAAAATGCTTTTGCACAGCAAAGGAAACCATCAGCAAAATGAAAAGGCTACCTACTAAATGGGAGAAGATATTTGCAGATCATATATTAGATAACAGGTTAATATGCAAAATATATTTTTAAAAAAACTTATACAACTCAACACCAAAAACCCAAATACCCCAATTAAAAAATGGGCGGGGGACTAGGATAGACATTTTTCCAAAGACATACAGATGGCCAACAGGAACATGAAAAGACGCTCAACATGACTAATCATCACAATATGACAAGTGTTGGCAAGGGTGTGGAAAAAAGGGAACCTTCGTACACTGCTGGTGGGAATGTAAATCAGTGCATCCACTATGGAAAGTAGGGAGGCTCCTGAAAAAATAATAGAACTACCAGGGGCACCTTAGTGGCTCCGTCGGTTAAGCATCTGACTCTCGATCTTGGCTAGGTCATGATCTCAGGGTCAGGGGATCGAGCCCCTAGTCCGACTCGTGCTCAGCGGGAGTCTTGAGATTCTTTCTCTCCCTCTCCCTCTGTCCCCCCTGCTATCTGTAAATAAATAAATAACATCTTAAAAAACCCACAAGGAGGTATCACTAAAAAAACATCAAAATGGCTAAAATTAAAAAGATTAGTAACACCAAACATTGATGAGGATGCAGGGCCAGGCTCTCATAGAGCACTGGTGGGAATCCAAAACGGGATAGCCTCTTAGAGGAGCATCCAGAAGTTTCTCATAAAACAGAACACACTCTGCACTCCTAGATATTTACTTAAGGTAAATGAAAACACGTTCACAGAGAGATTTGTACAAGAATGTTCGTAACAACTATATTCATGACAGCTAAAAATGGAAAAAGCGCAGATGTTCGTCAATAGAAGGATGGACAAACTCATGTATTTATATAGTGGGCAACTGAGACACGCAAGAATGTGGGTAAACCTCAGAAACACTACGCTGAGTGAAAGAAATCTTACCAGAAGAGTACATGCTGCATTTACATGATGTTCTATTACAGGCAAAAATAATCTACAGCAGGAAATACCCAGAACGCTAGTAAAGTTTAAAAGAGAAATAAGAAGATAACAGGAAAATGATGCCAGCAGACTTTTTCAAAGTAACACCTATAAAAGCGAGAGAAGGTGAACAAGCCATGACACAGCTCTATGGATGAGCATATGGTATACAGAAAAATGCTACGGCTCGTGTCTCGATGGATGAGGAAAACAGCCTGGCGGAGAGCGAGGGACGGCGTGCTTTGAGCAAACTGTTGAGAAAACAGAGTTGAGTCGGGGAGGTGGTGTGAGGTGAGCGGTGCCGGGGCCAAGGGCTGGGGGACCAGGACTGTCAGCTTTCCTAGACCACTGCAGGAAACTGCGATGGCAGTGACAGCCAAGGGCCACACCGAGCAGTGAGACACAGACAGAGCACCTGGCAGTCTGGGTCGAGTGTCACTCACCTGCCTGTTCAGCTTCACAGCCAGGATGGTATTCGAGTAGCTGTAGTTACAGATCTCGGTTCCTTTCTTAAAGTGGCAAACTTTGAGCTTCCTAGGAGCTTTGAGGCTAACGATGGCCACTAAGCTGCTTGAAAATAATCTTTCTACAATGCACACATCTTCAGTATCAGCTGAAAGTAAGAAAAAACATATGTATGTATTCACGTCAACAGGTGCAATCCGGTCACACACACAAATGCATTTCAAGTAAACACACACGTCCAGCAGAGCACCACGGGCTTACACAGTGATTGCCTGGTGATGGGACCGGGCTGTGGGGACGGTCCCAGAACACGGCAGTGTGGAAGTCAGCTTGTGGGCAGACAGACTGGGGCTACACTCACCGCTTACGAGCCGCGGACAGACTGCTCACCGGGTCTCCCTGCTCCCCCTCCTCATTCCTCTCTCACATCATCCTGCTCACTGGGAGGCTCCTTATACACACCCTGGAATGTGAGCTCCATGAGGAATGAGGCCTCATTTTCCTGCTGGCACCTGAGGTCCTGGCCCTTTCCTGACAAATCACAGGCCCCAGGTAATCTCTACATGACTTGATCTTTCCACGTCTTGTCTTCCTCATACGTAAAATGGGGATCACAGCTCCTCTCCGTTACTGTTAAGAGGGGTTGCAGATACTGGCCCATATAGCTGGCACTCTACACCCGTTACCTCCCTGCTCCCCATTTCAAGTGGGGACACCCCTATTCACAGGATGGCGAGTTAAAAACGAGAGCACACAGCATCCTGCACAGAAATAACAGATAGAACAGACCCTCCATAGATGTTACCTCACACCCACCCCACCTCCAGTAAATGCCACACGTCCCCAATCTTTATTTCTGCCCTTGTTTTAGTAGTAAATACCTGGTAAGTTCAGATCTAGAAGCAAAGAAGAAGACTGGATTGTAGAAAAATCACAGAGGCAACAATCCACGTTACTTCCGCACGCGGCCTGTCTCTGCCATCGGAAGTACAGCTGTGCCAGGTGTTTCACGCACACACCCGTTCCTCAACCCAACAGTGACCTGAGGCCGCACCCAATCTCCCGGGACCGGAGCGGGGCACACAGAACACAGACGACCAGACAGGTCCAGCCCAGGGGACCTGGAAGTTCTGACTATCTGAAGCCTCAGCAACGTGTCCACTGTAAATCAGATGCCCTAACGTGAAAACTCACACAAAAGATACAAAGTTACTTGAAAGGATTCCTTTCCGTTAGCTCTGCTGCTGGATTTAAATGGTGTAACAAAGACACGCTTAACTTAGGTTAGAAACCCAACTACTAGAGAAAATGAAAGAACAAGCTCCAAGGGACCTTTTATTAAGACAAAACTATTTCTAGGGGCGCCTGTGTGGCTCAGCCGGTTGAGCGCCCGGCTCTTGGTTTCGGCTCACGTCATGATCTCAGGGTCCTGGGATCGAGGCCCGCACTGGGCTCCGCGCTCAGTGAGGAGTCGGCTTGAGATTCTCCCTCTCCCTCTCCCTCTGCTTGCTCTCTCTCTAAAATAAATAAATCTTTAAAAACGAGAGAAACTATTTCTAGGAAAATGCCTGGTATCAGTCGTTCCCATATAGATGTGATGGCCTGCTGTGCTCAGCACGACGAGGTGCTCGCATGCTGGGTGGTAGCCAGAGTCATGTATGTACAAAGTGACCTAATACGTGCATGTGGGGAAAAACTACAGGATTTTGCTGTTACTTAGAATGGAATAGGCAGTGAAATCAAGGGTCTGATTCACAGTCACTTTATTTATTTATTTA